TATCTATCTATCTATCTATCTATCTATCTATCTATCTATCTATCTATCTATCTATATGTCTATTCCCCCTTTATTCCTCGCTCTCTCTATCAATCTCGTAGAACCCACTTACACCATTTCCTATTGTTTGTGTCTGATTTGATGGTTTGTCTGTTTCTCTACGTCAATGTTTTTTGTGGCGTAAAACCACGATGTTTGACCTAAAAGGAAAGCGGGAAGAAACACTGAAAAAAAAATGATTGTATATGGCCGGCAAGCTGTTCAACTGTTATAAGCCCAGAAAGCAAAATTTTTGCCAGGACATGGAAAATGCTGTTTTTTAAAATTCTTTTAAGCATGTCGTTACCTTACAATTATAAAGTTCTATGACCATTTTGGCCATTTTGAGTTACTAAGACCATGAGATTAGAAACCAAATGTTCTATCTGCACTATAAAAATCGTAAGATTTTTTGGAGTTGTTATGAAGATATTCAAAGAATTGTATTCGAAAAAAGCTTGGCATATTGTGAAACACAAACTTGCTTACGTCCAATTTCTAAAAAAAATAGGTGCTTAACAGATTGAAGCGTACTTACGTTACATATCTTTTTTTTTTACAACTCTATAGAAATTGAATTTTGGCAGAATGATATTTCCCGAATTAATACAACTGGTACTACAGGTTTTAAAGAAACTGCAGTCATTTTAACAATGATAACGACGATGACAATCTTTATTTATCTTGCAAGAAGAAATTTAAAAAGATAAATAGAAAATCTTTTCAAAATTGTGGGGTTAGCACATTTGAACAGCTGGCCGACAATATGGATCTAGATAAGAAACAAGGAAAATCAAGCATTGCGCTGTCTCAGTGCGCAGTTACTTCTCAACATGGCTTTATGAATATCGATGCAGATTTTTTCCTCAGTACATCTCAAAACCTTGAACACGTTCTGGTGAAGGAAATGCAGATCTATTTTGTTGTTATAATTATTATTTCATTGTACGATATTCCTTGCTATCTGAGCTCTCGTTTCACTAATTTTTTTTTCATAATCTTTGTATGTCTATTATCTATCTGCTCTGCTTCGACCCCGCTCCCGTTTTGTTTTATCTATCTATCTATCTATCTATCTATCTATCTATCTATCTATCTATCTATCTATCTA